AAAAAAAAGAAAATAGTTGCCTAGTTTAGAGCAAAGTAATGAGAAAGACACTGGTGGCGGTAATGCCTCAGCTGGAAACAGAGAGAGTCCTTTAATTCTACCACAGAAGAAGAACGAGTAGCGAGCGGCTCTCCGCCAACATGTCGCCTCTCAAGGCATTCTCCGGCTTCGATTTGAAATAATAAGCCTTTTTATTTTGACCAGGGCACACTCAGCTAACAGGTCTAAAGTAGATGCGACACCAAAACAATATCCTGGGTGAGACTTGCTTTATAAATTAGCATGTGTTAGCTTGTATCCTGCTGCAGGGCCCTTGCTAATGTTAGCATTAGCCGCTAATTGATTGGATTCTCCCGTTTTAGCTGGTTGAAGACCTTAGTCATTTGTATGGTTGTTATCTGAAACTAGCTTTCTTATATGTTTAATACTAATTATTATAGATATGTAGTTATTTGGTAATAGGCTCTAAAATCTTAAGCTTTGCAGCATTTCTGCTGACTTGTTTCATTAGGAAAACATTTGCGATGCATCTGTTGCGTATTAACTGCTTTAATGGTCACTAGCTGAATGAGCTTTGCTTCTATTTAAAAAATAAAGTCCTATTTACAGTGGTCTGCATTTAATTTATTGCTGGAATTTCCTTTTATGTTTTACAAGGTTTTAAATAAACACAAACTGACACGAATTGGCAGTAAAACCTAGCTAAGGCTTAGAAATTAGGATTTGAGATTACTGATGGGGGATCAGAAGAAAGAGTGGTGCTTAATACATCCTTTCTCAGTTTTCTCTTTGATTAAATTAAACTTTATTTGACCAATTATCAATCAGTGCTGTATTATGATCTGATCACAATTGGTTATATGCTGTGCATCATTAACTCTACTGAAAAGCACACTTTTCAAATATGTTAATGTTGCAGTTTTGTAAATCCAACAAGAAATAAAAGATTTCTTCTACTTAAAACAAAGTACTTAATGTTGCCAGATGATGTATTTAATGAAAATTCTTAGACATCTTATTTTAAAATAATTTAATGGAGAATGCAAAATATATATATATATATTTTTTTTTTTTTTTCTTAAAAATTTTCAGAAATCCAATCTATTCCACTATTTGGTGGACTTAAACCATATTTCTTTTTTCTTGTTTTTCAAGTCCTGCAGAATGTCCAAGATCAGGCGGAAGGTGACAGTGGAGAATTCAAAAACTATATCCGACAGCGGGAGCAGCAGCAGCACCACGACCAGCAGCGCCACCAACCCCGCCGCGGCGCCCTCTCGCAGGCCCAGCGTGTTTGAGAGACTCGGTCCCAGCACTGGTAGTAATGCTGCTGATGTGCGTATTGTTCAGTTTTTCTCTTTTGCTACAGAGATCTAAAGATGAGGTTGTTAAATTGTAAAAAGTTGGATCAGTAAGTTGTCTTATGGTTCAGGATGATCATTCTTCTGTAGTTATCACTTCTGCATTTTGCTGTATTTAACATAAACTGGATAAGAACCTGTCCTCATCTATTTGGCTGACCATGCTTCCACTTTTCTATTTATCCTACCATTATTTTATTCATCCATCCATCTGGTCATCCTTCTTTCTATGATTGTTTTTTTCTTTTTTTCTATTTAAAGCATTGGCAAAAAAAATTTTTCTTTTAAGTCCAAAAGAAAATGTAGTGGTAGTGCCTTAAAAACGTCATCTGCTCCTTTTAATTAGGAAAAATGTGTAATTAAGACATATTGTGTAGAAGTTCCTTAAGGTAATCAGATTAACCCCTTATGTGCTCTCAGAGTCACTGCAGAAATTGGCTGAAGACTGGTACCTGCAGTTACGGCAACACTTGCCGCTATACACATGGAACTCAGCCCCGAAGCAAAGGATTCACCTTCAGCCGGTGAGGATTAAATGCAGATCATTTTTTTTTTATTTTTTTTTATTCATGTCTAGAACAAATGAAAGGCTGATTGTGTGTTTGTGCGAGCAGGACAACCGAGAGGCCCACAGGTGATCTGCGGGAGAGGATGAAGAATAAAAGAAAGGATGTTGACCCGGAAAACCTGAAGAGAGACCTAGACGAGCAAACATCTCCCACAGTAAGAGTACGTCACAATGTTAAAATAGATAAATAACACTCCTAATGAAGCTACAAATTTGCCAGCGTCTCCTCCGTTTGAAAAAATCTTTATAAACGGATCTGTATGTTGATACTCCTGCAGCAGAGAGATTCCTCTAGAGGGCGACACAGAGAGAAGGAGGACATAAAGATAACAAAGGAACGTACCCCGGCCAGCGAAGAAGAGACGGCTGAGTGGGAAACTAATCGTGAAGGTGCAGTGCCAACTTTGACAAACAAATAGTGGTTCATTTAAAATTTTGGTGAAGACCAATACAGTCGTTTTTTTGTTGTTGTTTTTTTTACTTTGAATTTGCGTGAGTGTGCTGTAGAGCTGCAACTAACGATTATTTTGCAAATGATTAATCTGTTGATAATTTTTTTCCAATAATTGATTAATCTAATAGCCTTAAAGAAGATTTTTTACAAAATGAAACAAAGGTAAAACTAAAACTTTTCCACTTAAGGAGTTCTGAATTCTGCAAATTAACAGACGAAAAATTTATTTTCTTTACTTTTTCTTAAATGCAAAATATATTTTTTGAATGATATTTATTTAAATTTTTGTTCAATTAC